TACTGCCCATTTTTTGATGGGCTTGTTTACTTTATTTTTGTTGAGTTTCATCAGTTCTCCGTATATTTTTGTGATCAGTCCTTTATTGCTACTTTTATGTCACTGGTTTTTTAATCAGTGGTCTGCTATATCCACTTACCTTGCCAGAAAGTGTAAACTCGACCTTGCTGCTGTTGAATTCTGATCAAAATCCTGGCAGTGGGAAATAATACTCATGGACCATTTCCCAAGCGATAGGCAGACCATCGACTTCTCTGGATAGTGTGGCCCTATGTAGACCAGCATATTGGCCTCTGCTGGGCTTTCTGTTACATTGCTGTTAGGTGTCTCGCCTCGCTTTGAAGGCCTCGCTAGACGAGTTGTGAACGAAAATTGTAAAGCTCATGCCATATGTGCAGTAGGGTTGTTGTTGGAGATGGAGCCCAGCTGCTGAGTCCACCAGTGTCCCTTGAGGGGAATCCACAGAAGTGTTTTCACTCTGGTATCAGTAGCAGGAGATGCCATGTTTGGGAGAAACTGATTTCGCCTTTTGGACAGAACTGTGAATTGTGTGTTGGTTCTCTTTGTGCTCTTTGCTTAGGCTGCCAGGAAACTCTAGAGCCATTATGGGTAAGGATTGCTGTGTCCTGATCTCCCCCACCCTGGATTTTGTTCTGCTCTCTTATCTTTCCTTTTTTTGCCCTCTGTCTTTCCCTCCAGATGCATAGGATGCACGACCTGTTCGCCATCGGCAGTGGCGAGGCCATGTTGCAGTTGATCCCTTCCTTCCAGTGTCGAAGACACTGCCAGTCCATGGCGATGCCGCTAGAGCCGGGGGATATTGGTAAGGGCGGCCCTGGAGGGCTAGGTCAGCCACAGGATCTCTCCGTTTTTAACTCAAAAAGTATTCTGAGAACTACATACTGCCTTCGCCAAGTTCAATTAAGTGAAGTCAAGATAATATTCTTTCATTAGCAGGGGCCGTATTTCTGCTTAGGTGGAACAGCTAATGCGAAAATGTGGCCGAGGAAAATACCTTGTACATCCACTTGGAATGCGTGTATCATTGGTTTTGGAACTTCCAGGTAGAAGGATTCTGGGAAATAGAACTGTGCAGATGAGGAGATGGCTGCCCAGAGAGGACCTGGTGATCATCCCAGAGGTGATCTGTCAGCCACAGCATCGAGTCTTGTGTCTCTTCTTTAACAGGCTGAAGACAGGAGGGTACAATTCCATAGTCAAGGAAACTGTTCTGTGCCCACTTGGCTCACAGAACAGTGCACACAGTGTGTCAGGACAGCGGCCTCTCAGGGAAATACTGCTGTCCTTGTGGGCCCGCGGCTAAGACACAGCCTCGCGCTCCTGCCTCACCCTTGGCCCGCGATTTCCCAGCTGTCACCGGGTCTGTGTCTTAGGTTTGAAAACCCATTCCAAAGAAATAGTTTTGATTGAACTGCTGTCATTAGCATTTAGTTTAACATTTGAGTTTTCTTGGCAGAAGAAGCAAATAAGTCAGTACACGTCACCATTCCCTCCTGTTCTTCCTGCCTCACAAAACCCGGGGGGAGGCCTGGAGTCCCTGATGAGGCCAGACTGGTTTTTCTCTCTGATTTCCTTTCATCTTACCCATTTAGAAAGCCCCGAGCCCTGAAACCGCTCACTTATTTGGAGGTAGGCTGCAGACTGTAAGCTTTAATTCAAGTCGCAGAACTTCAGTTTAGAAAAGAAAGCATAAAAATAATGCATAAATTAAGCACTACTGACAGTGGGGCACAGCTGGTCTGGCTCTTGGGAATTAGTGCCTAAGAGAAGATCTGTGTTTGGAAATTGTTCTGCGCATTTGCCTGCGGAGCGGTGACCCTCTGAGCAGGGTGGCTGTTGCAGAGGTCTGTGCAGCGTTTGGGTTTGCAGAGTGTAGGTCTGCTTGAACAGTTTTATGCCTTAATGTTTTATAAAAACCTGACAGCTCAGACAACTACAGAAACACCTTAGTTAACCCAAATTCCAGGTTTCTAGCTCCTACAGACATCTAGAAGGCCAATTATAGAATTAGGGAATGTGAAAAATGGGTGAACAGCAGTGGTCAAAGAAGCTTTGCGCATCCAAGGCTGGCGGGATAGTCCACAAGGGCTGAAAACCCAGAGTGCGCTCCCTGCTGAGCTGCGACTGGCCACTTTACGGACCACAGGGAGCCCGGGGCCTGCCAGTGCCCTTGACAGGCCAGCCACCTGACTGGGATATGGAGACAGGACAGGAGGTTGAAGAGGACAAGAGGAAGAAGAATGGGGTAGGGTTTGTAGGGGACAGGGGAGAAACTCAAGCCCCTGACCAGCGACAGAAATAAAAGCAGGAGCTGAAATTGCCGTGGTTAGAATCAAGGACAGGAAAGCAGCCCCGGCGAGTGGAGAACTGTGTGGGTGCAGGACAGATGCCAACTCCGCCACCTCAGGGACCTGGGGCTGGCTCTGTCATGAGCCAGTTCTGTGTTTTCTGCAAAACAAGCATCGTGAAGTTAGGGGACAGGGCAGGGTAATAGACCAATAAGGAACCTGTGATGGAGGCATTTCCAAGAAGGGTTCTGAGCCCAAGCCCCTGAGGCTGACCTGGTGAGCCCTCACCTCTGCTGCGGTCATACACCACTGCTCACAGAGGCTGTGGGGACTGCCCAGGGGGAGGTTAAGTTGTTTGGGGCTCTCACTTTGAAAGAACATAGTGCACTCTGGAAAATTTTCCATCAGGAGATTATTGAAGTGTTAAAACTTTTAAGTTTACCTTCCTATTCCACTCAAATATAGATAAGTGTTTCAAAAGATTCTTTAGCTCACTCATGGGCTCCCCTCAGGCCCCCCCGCCCCGGGGTGGGAACAGGAGCCCCTTGGAAAGGCCTTTGGTAAATACAGCTCTTGAGTCAGCTGACGTTGAGAAATGCCTGTCCTGTTGGTACGTAGTGCACTCCCGTGTAAGAGAGACTCTGCCGAGATTTGGAAGACTCTAGAGTTTCTCAGATATGAACGTGGGCCCATTTCGTTGGCCTATCTCGTGGGATGCTGTTGTTTGCAGAACTGAACTGAGGAAACGCTGGTTTGGGTTTATCTGGACTTTCTGTCTTGAGGTCACATTACAGATAATCTCAGGAGAGGGAGGGGGTCCTGCTTCCCCTCCGTTTTCTTGCTGAAGATGATATCAGTCTGAGGGTTGGTGCCCAGCAGCAGCCACCTTTAGAGCATCCTGCCCTGGTAAGCCTGCTGAGTTGTGACTCACAGGTACCCAGGTGCCTGCGGTGAGGAAGCATTTTGGCTCAGAGTCCCTCCTGTTAGGTGTCAGGTCACCTAAAAATAACTGGCAACACCTATGCCAGATGGAGCAAGATTTGCCCCTGGCTCTGCAGGTGTGCCCTGAGGGCAGCTTGGCAGCCGCTCACTCTTACCCACAGCATGCCCTGTCCCTGCCACTCACGTGCTCTCCTGTTGCTGTTTCCCTTCAAGGCTATGCCGGTGCCTCCCACTGGAAGGTCTACGTTGTAGCCAGAGGAGTCCAGCCTTTGGTCATCTGCGATGGCACCACTGTCTCAGAACTATAAAGAACAGAGCTATATAGAGGAACATCTCTGAGTGCTGAAGGCCAGGTGGAAAGGGGGAAATAAAAACCAAAACCCATGAAACCATTTTCCAGGGGTTGGTTACTGAGTTACCTGCCCCGTGCATGTGTGTGCAAGCCTGGGCGGTGGGAGCCGAGGCCGGGGCCGGCCCTCCGCCCTCCTGACTCCTTCAGCCAGCATCAGCCAGGACTTTGCCCCATCTCTGTCTGTGAGAGTGGGCACGGGCCTCGCCTGCGGTGGGAAGCAGGGTGGGTGCTTCCCTGACTGACCTGAAGCCCCCTGCCAGCCTCCTGACCACAGGGTGGACAGCCCCAGCAGGCCTGACTTCAGCGCCATCCTGTATCAGGTGCACCTGCTTGTCCTGTCCTGGCCACACCACCCTGTTCTTTCCTGGACAACCATGACTGATGAAAGAAGTCGTTGCAGTTGCCCAAGCAGAATGGACTCTAGAACCAATGAGAAAAGATGGAAGTAACCTCACTGGGCACTAGAAAATGCACTTCTTCCCCAGCATCTGCGACTTACAGTCTCAGAGGGGCCAGGCCGGTGCCTGATTGCAATTAAAATGCTAATTCCGAAGGTAACATCTCCATTTTTCTCAGTTGTTTATGCTCTTCCCAGCAACCCCCTCCCCCTTGCCTCTCCAGACGATTTCTCAGAAGTTGAGCTCCGGCCCCTCCGCTGGCCGGCCAGAGCCCCCCCTGCTGAGGCAGCACGGCTCCTGTCAGCTGTGTTGCTTTTACCAAGTGTCTTCAGAGGGGGATGAGTTAGAGCTGGCCGGGGAGAGGGTGCGTCCCTGGGTTTGATCTTTAGGGTCTGACTCTGCAGGGAAATGTTTCACAGATGTTTCGCTCTGATGTCGTAATGTGGTCAGGGAAGGAGCTCCAGACCCAGAGCGGTGGCCAGCTGGGCGTGCAGTTCTGTGATCCTTTGTCTTAAAATGGTTCCTCTTCGTGCTGGGGAACAAGGTGAGGTGTTTTTATTTGTTTTATTCGTAACTCACCCTGCTCTTTTGGTTGGCAGATTCACTCTGCTTCTTGCTTTTCACGTAGGTATGAGTCAGAAGGTGTCAGCGAGGACACTCTCGTCGTTTCTCCTTTCCTTTATTGACACTACTGGCTGTGTGGCCTCTGGTCATGCCCATCACCGGGATGCAGACAAAACAAACCACACTGTGGCTCCTGATTCTCAGTGGCAGAAATCCACTGGACCGGGAGGTGTCTGTGGCCAGAGGCAGACAGTGGGAGGGACAGGCATGGGGCTCCTTTTGGGGTTCTGTCCATGAGGAGGTGTCCCTGTACCTGGTGCGGGCCCGCTTTCTCTCCTCATCTCACAAGCAGCTGCGGTGCTGCTCAGGCGCTGGCTTGTGGGCTTGCAGAGGGCAAGCAGGGTCCACAGAACTCGGGCTGGAAACCTCAGCGCCTCCTTCATGGCTTGGAGTGAAATGAGGATGAACTGTACCTGAGGGAATTTTCCCTTCAAAGAATCAGTGCCTTGTGTGGATCAAGACAGAAAAACAACATTTTGTGCATATAAATGTCATGCTGCTAAGAAGTTAAGATTTAAGAGGTTTTAAGTCAGAGGGATCCTTCAGACGCCAACTTTGCACAACCTCTTAGAGCCTTTGCAGTGTCCTTATCCCTCCTGCACACGGGACAGGGTCATCTGTGTAAACAAGGTCTTTAAAAGCCTTTCCTCTCCGCCTTCTTAAATTAGGCCCTTTGGGTTAACAAAGGAGAGTGTTCCTTAGGAACAAAGCAACTGTTTAAATGATTTGAGATTGCTGTTTTGTTTTCATAAATTACACTGTGTTCCTTTTTCATTTTACTCCCGCCCTTCACACCTTAAATGCCCGTGAAAAACCCACTTTGGCTCCACATTTTAAAAGCCAAGCACTTACTGGTGCTCTGAGGCAGTACCCGGGAAGTCCCCAAAGCCCCAGTTCAACAAGAAGTGAAAGTGGAGCTGGAGCCTTTGGGGCATACGCTGCTCAACTGAACATTCATCCGGTCCATGATTGAAGATAGATTTATGTTAGGGCAGAACTTCAAAGAAGGTATTTTGTTCTACCTCCTTCTTAAGATGACACTGATAAACAGAACCTGCCGTGGCCAGGCCTGTGTGAGCAACATGGGGCTGCCAGCCAGTCCTGGCTACCCAGGGCCTGTGTGAGGGAGGTGGGGTTCCCTGTGCACTTAGCTCTCAGCTGCCCCAGGAAAGTAGCAGAAGTCCCTCTTCATGACTTGGCGTGGGAAAGAGGGTCATCAAGATGAGGAAGAAGGGTCAGGGGCCCCGGCGCCCCATCACCTATACAGCCACAAAAACAAAACCAAGGGCTGTAAGGAGAGGTCCTTGCTCAGGGGGCTCTTGAGTGTCCACTGACAAGAGCACAGAGCTGACGTCCACGGGTGGGCTGGATTTCCTTTCTCGTAGGTTCCAGCATCAGAAGTCAGCTCTCTGGAGCTGCTCTGGCAGCAGCTGGGAGCCTGTGATGTCCAGAAGCCTCAAGTCTCTGGGAATCAAGTATCGAGCACAGCAGTACACTGTGGCTTAAACGTTGGCTGTGTTTCCCAGTCCTCAGTTATTCTGGGGGACGGAGTAAATAGTGGTGACTTAGGAAAACAAAACCAGACTATTTGGTAGAATACAAAGCTGCCTGTGAGATGGGTCGGTTTGGGCTTCCTTTCCGAGCAGAAGGAATAATAATACCCATGTAGTTCATTCTAAGAGTGCCCAAGATACTGTGATCTCCTTTCATCCTTACTCAGGCCTGTAACGTAGCTGTAAATCCTCCCTTTACAAGTAAAGGAACCAGGGCCTAGAACAATTAACTGCTGGTCAATAAGTGGCTGGTTCCAAGGCCTCTGTTGTTTCTCTGCTGTGGCTATGTAGTGCGCGAACACCAAGATGTGGGTTTAATTGAGCCAGGGTGTCCCTGCCGGGCTAGGAGAACCTAGTGCGAGGGTGAGCACGCCAGGAACACATCAAGGTTTATTTCCTCAAGATCGTTCTGGATAAAAATGAAGGCAGCCCTTAACCAGATGACTTTTTATAAAAATCCTTATCCTTTTTCCTTCCCTTGTAAACTCGATGAACCATTTTCTCGTCCCCACATTTCCAGATGTGTGACCAGAGGAGGGACTCTGCCCAATTCCAGTTGTGAGTCCCTTTGGAGTTTACATCACTTGTTTTTCAGTTCTCAGTTTTCTGTCTAGTCCCTTCTTCCAAAAGCCAGCATAGACCTCTGTGGTGGGACAATTATTGTTTAACAAAATCTCTAGTTCCTTCGCTGCCAGTGATGGCCTCAATCACTTTAACGTAGTCAGGGACGAGTGTTTGCTCATTAGCCAGAGGCTTCAGAGTGAACATTCAAACCCCAAAGTATAGATGTTCACATCCCATCTTTCCCAGCTGGAGAAGGCCAAGCCATGTGGGAGCCGGAGAGCTGCCGGTCTGTCTGCAGGGAGCGAGGTGATCTTACCTGCCTGTTGAGAATCAGTCATTAAACAGAAGGGCCTCTGAGGCTTTTCAGCTCTCCTACCGATGGAGGAGAAACTCTCCTGAGTCCACAAGTTCCATGCTCATTAACTTTCACAGCAACCCACACCCGCTAAAATGTGTTGAAGGAAGGTGGTGCCAGAGATGCATTTTAAAATAGTGTTTCTCTCCAGGCTTCCATCTGCACACATTGTGTCCAGAGCCGTGGCATGTCAGTGCCCAGAGGCTGGGAAGGCAGAGATGCTTGTGGAGACCGCCCTGGACTCTGGGGGTGTGCGGTGTCCCTGTCACTGGCCAGGCCTCCGCACCATCCCTCTGCCAGTATCCAGCAGCGTCTCTCACAAAAGCCTCTGAGAGAAGATGGAGGGTGCCTTCCCTCTCGGGCCCCACCCAGAGCACCCACCCTGGCTTTAAGTGCTGGCCTTGATGAGAAAACCTCCAGCCCATGGCCTGCTGTCCAGCTCCCTTTGTGTCTGGGTTCCCTGCCCTGCATAATTTAGCATTAGAGTGAATACAACTGTCACTTTCCTCTCTCTGGAGATCATGAAGTGGCCAGACTTTCAGAACAAAAGGAAAAAAAAATATTACGTAACCAAGCAAAGGCTGGAACCACTGAGACAGCGCAGGGCTGTGTAGCTCTCAGTCAGTGCATCCATCCTCAGGCAGGCAGGCAGGCAGTCACCACAAGCACCGGGGCAGAGGGAACCCAGTTTCATTTTGAGTTTCAGACAACTTGGGAGTTCTGACGTCTGCTTTGTGCCATACTTGACTTACCTCATTATTCCTCCCAACAGCTCTGGGGGTAAGTGGGGTCATCCTGGGAAACTCCCTAAACTCTGCGGCCCCTCAGCCTTCCATCTTCAACTCCTCAGAGCACTTGAAACTCTTGCAGGAGTAGAATCTCATGTACCCTTGGGTACAGGGAAATTGTCCTCCCAACTTCTTTCCAAAATTTTATCCTCAGAATGCTGTCACCCTCCTCCCTGCTGTGGAGTGAGAAGGTCAGACACCCAGGAGGCTGGCGAAGAAGACTGGACAGGCCCAGTCAGCCAGCACCGGTGCTCAGCCTCTTCCTTGCCACCCTCAGGGATAGGAAGTGGTGGTGGTGGTGGGGGTGGGGAGAGAATACACAGGGGGGGAGGTCTTGTTCATCCCCAGGGAGGTAGGATGTGAGGGCCCTGGATGGTCACAGTAAGCCGAGGGAGACAGGCCCAAACACACATGGTCCAAACAGTCTGAACTGTTGATGTGTTTAGTGCAGTGTTGACAGTAACTGAATGCACTGCCAGCTTGCAGAAATTTCCAACATGTAAAGAATGTATGTAAATTGTCATGTCATGAAAGTTTTTACCTTTTGCAATTAAAAGCGTGTATGTTGGTTGGTAAGAACTTTGGTGTCCTCTGATTTCCCTTTTGCCTTCTCCCATAACTTGGGAGACTTCTGGACGCATGCTGGAGGTCTGTCCTGCCAGCCTCAGTCTCTAATAGTGTTTCAGTGTTTCATCCAGCTCTGAACTTGGTCATGTTCAGACTCTGCTTTTATCCCCATTCCAGGCCTTTGCGCACATGGCTTTGGATGTACTCTGCCCGTGGATTCTCAAATCTCAGTCCTTTTGTCCCTCCCCCTTGTCCAGAATTCAGATGTAACCCTGGTCACATTTTCCACACAGCCCAGCTACCCTCAGTGTCCCCTTGTGGATGTCCATGTTCTCCCAGGAGGCCAGCCCCCCCCTCCAGCCCCACCCCGCCTTGCTAACTCACCCCAGCTGCCACAGATTAGGGCTGTTCCGGACTCAACTCAATGCAAATTTGATTTAGTCATTTTTGTGCACTCATATGCCTTCACTGTGCTTACTAATACACAGCATAAATCATACATTTATATATGCATAAATGGAACCATTTTATACTGTGTATTTCCCTTCCTCCTCTGCTACTCTCTCCCCTCTCCCATCAGCAAGGGAGGGGATGATGATGTTCTAGTCATGTGGTGTGTGAGGTAAATGTGTATATACAACCACACCCTGGCACATAGCTTTCCACAATTTCTTGCATTCTCTCTAATCATAATGACTAAAAACTAAATTTTTGTCATTGCATTACCAAAAATGGGATCATATTACAGGCACTTGATGTTTCTTGCTTTTTTCCCCTCAAAGTTCAAATCTGCTGGTGTAACTAATCCAGTCTTTTTTGTGCCTAACATTTCATGGTGTGGATATGCCTTCAGTTATTAAGATCTTCTCTTTCTGATGGCAAATCACAACCTATTAAATGATTGTTTGCATTATAAACTGAGAAGTCTAGAATTAATTTGGAAAAGACATGTTTTTACAAAATATATTCATTCTCGTTAGCTCCAATCCTAATAGTCAAATATTCCCAAAATATCCCCCTAGTGCACAGTGCTTTTCATTAACCAGATTGAAAACTGGACCTTCACAGCGACTAAAGGGAGGGCTTCATTCTTTGTAAAAAGACAGCAAAATCACCAGTTTCCAGGTTTCTTTCTCAACCTGTCAATTCTTTTTTTTAAAAAAATGATTGATTTATGCATATAAGAACTGGTACAGGCTGGGGTTGGGGGGGTGGTGGGATGAGAGGATTCACCGTAGACAAAGTGGGGAGCAAAACAAATGTGTCTACTGAAATACACTGCTGAGAGGAGCAGTGGGCGGGTCAGGAGAGGTCTGTTGCGCCATGTGGGTCAGCTCCCTCGCTGGGGATCCAACTCCTGCTGCAGTGGCTGTACTTTACAGTGCTATACTTTAACCTGCTGTGCCACCAGGAAGGGCCCTGTCATTATTTGACTCAGCCTGTGGAAGAGCTTATCACAGTTCTTGTGAGATGTACAACTCCCTTCCTGAACCTCCTCTTGCCATATTTCTTTGTAGGGTCTTCTCCCTGTCTCTGAAATAACTGGTCTCTTCTATAGGTCCTCTTTTTGGGTCCTCTTTCTTTCACCACACACTTTTCTTGGGAGATCTCAGCTCTGCTTAACCTTCCACTGCTGGGCAGATGGCCTCTCGCCAAGTGCTTAGCCCGCTGCTCTCACCTGAGCTCCAGTCCTTTGTGCCCAAGGGTGGGCGCTCACCTCCACCAGCTCTCTTAAAGCATCTCTAATTCAGTTTGCAACATGACTAGCAGCCTCGGGGCTCCTGTCCTCTCCCAGCTTCTACTACATTTTTTTTTTCCTTTTTGCAAAAGAACAAACTTTATTATAGAGCCCCCAAGCCCCAAAGCTTTCTTCTGCACAGCCTGGCTTCCCCAAAGACAGCCTGTCCAGCCAGCAGCAATTAAGATCCACTTTGAGACCGCAAGGACAAGACCAGGTTCTGAAGGATTCTGCCTTGTGTATCCAGCCACAGCTCTTGTGTATCCAGAGCTGCAGTTGTCCCTGCTCAGAACCTTGCTGCTTCACTCCCAGACTCTGCCAGAGTCTCATGCGTGTCCTGCGGTCCGCATGTTGTTGTCACGTGATCTTTCAGCGTATTTAACATGCCTTAAAATTCCACTGCCTGCAGGATGAGATGCCCTGGCCAGTCTCATTCCACTTCCACTCCTTACCTTTACTATTTTTTTTAATGTATGTATGCATACAGAACTGGGGTGTAGGCCAGAGGTTCATGGGCAGTGAGAGCATTCACCAGAGACAGACTGGGGAGCAGAATCAGCAGATCCATGAAGCACACTGCTGAGGGGAGCAGCCGGTGGGTCGGGAGAGGTCTGCCATGCCATGTGGGTCACCTCCGGGGCGGGATCGAGCTCTGCTTAGCTGCACAGTACTGCACTTTAACCTGTAGTACTGCACTTTAATCTGTTGCCACCAGGAAGGGCCCTTACCTGCTTCTTACCTACTAAACCCCATTTCTGAACCATCTGCAGTTCCTGGAAACCTACAGACTTTATTTCATTGGTTGCACAAGGGGTTAAAGCACAGCACTAAGAAGCTACCACAGCCACTGCAACACGAGTTCAATCCCGGCCAGGGCGGGACCCACCTGGCCCAGCAGACCTCTCCTGTCTCACCTGCTACTCCCCTCAGCAGTGGATTTCAGTCCGTCTGCCTGTTCTGCTCCCCACTTTGTCTCCGGTGAAACCTCTCACCCCTACCACCCCCCAAGGTCTGGCCTATACCCCAATTCTGTATACATAAGTACATCTTTAAAAGTTTAGAGTAATTGTAGATTCACAGAAAAATGGGGCAGAAAGCGCCCTTTCCAAGTACCCCCTCTCCCTTTATACACAGCCTCCCCACAACTGAGTTTTTGCACTGGAGTTGGTGTGTGTTGCAGTGGAGGAATCTACACCAACACCCCGTTACCACCCGATTCCTCTCCATGTCAGTCTGTCTCTTCAGGTCTCTGACCAACTGTATAATCATGTTCATTTTCTTATTGTTGAATTCTTTGTATATTTTGGATATAATCCCCTATCTCATGTATCTTATTTTCTCCCAGTTGGTGGCTTGTCTTCACATTCTCTTGATACCAACGTTTGTTGAACAAAAGTTTAAAATTTTAATGAAGTCCAGCCTACCAGTTATTTCTTTCAGTGGGTTGTGCCTCTGGTGCTGTTGCCAAAAGTCACTGTATTCAAGATCATCTAGGTTTTCTATGTAATTTTCTAAGACTTTGATATTTTGCATTTTACATTTAGGTCTTTTTGAGATAACTTTTATGACAGGTATAAGGCCTGTGCCTATATCCATATTTTAACATGTTGATACCTAGTTGCTTCAGCACTGGTTGAAAAATCTCTGCTTCATCGTATTGTCAAATAACAGTTCACTGTGTGTCTATTTCTGGGCTCGCTCGTCTGTTCCATTGATCTCCCGGTCTATTCTTTGGCCAACAAAAGATTTGATTTTTGGTAACTGCAGCTTTATAGTAATTGTTCAAGTCAAATTATGTCAGTTCTCTGACTTTCCTCTTCATTACTGAGTTGGCTATTCTGGGTCTTTTACCTCTCCAAAGAAGCGTTAGACCAGTTTATCTATAACCACAAAATAACTTGCTGGAACCTTGACTGGAGCTGCGGAGAACCTTAGATCAGGTTGCATACAGGTTATTTAATTACAAGTTATAATTCCTATCTCATTAAAATATTTTTGAACATAAATATGTCCCTTTTTGCTCGGTTTGATTTCCAGTTTTTTAGTGTGCATTCCTCTAACATGCTCGTGATTTTTAGGCTTATTTAATAAATCGAATTGACAGGTCTCTGGATAGCCTTTTGAAGACAGATATTTCACCACTCTAATTTTTTTCAAAATAGTGACTTATTTTTCTTAAATATGATACATTCTTATGAAGAGCTAAAGGCAGTTGGGTGATCTTATAAAAAGTTCCACCTAGGAGTGGGGAATGGGATCAAAAAAGTGGGGGGTGGGAAATGCACTGAATTATGGTGATGCACATGGGTGATTTGGTGATGGGAAGCCCAAGGGGATTGCAACTGAGATGGAAAAATGCACAAAATGATATAAAAATAAACTATTTTAAAATTAAAAAAAAAGTTCCACCCAGAGATAACTACTCACACTAGATGAACAGCATTCTATGCATCTCTAGGATATTTCTAGCTAGAAGGCTGAATAGAAATGCTTTTATGGGCCCTACCTGATTGCACAAGGGGTTAAAGCACAGCACTATGAAGTTGGCCACAGCTCCTGCAACACAAGTTCAATCCCTGGCCAAGAAGCTGACCTACAGGGCACAGCAGACCTCTCCTGTCTCGCCTGCTGCTCCCCCTCAGCAGTGTACCTCACCCATCCACCTGTTCTGCGTCCCCACTCTGTCTCTGGTGAATCCTCA